GGGGGTGGTACAAGAATTTCAGGCTTCTTTCAGTTGCTGGCCCAGAGAGGCAGGCTGTGGGCCTGCACACTGATTACCTATCTGATAAGGGAGGAATTCAAACTATGTGTCTTAGAAAGGAGCAGGGATGGGGGGCAGGGAGCCACCCCAAGAGATCACCAGTTTAAATCTTAGCCCACCAGTTACATAGAGGTGCCTGAATGAGTTTTTTAATATTCTTTAAAGGTCTTAAACAGACTTCAAATCCTCCAATGATAGTTAGAAGGACTGAAAGGACCGGTCAGTTTCATATTGTATGACCATGTTTACACTAGCCCTTGTTCTCCCAAGCCTATACACTGTCAGTGGAGGGAAGGGTGTTACTCTTAGTAAACTGGAGCTCAAAGGGTTACCTTGCCGAGTTTCTACAGCTGGTTACTGATAAAGCCAAAGTTGGTTTTGAGTCTCTTGACATTTGGTTCTGCTATCCTGCTCTGATCCAGCCTGAAGAAGAGGATTTATGTGTGGCAGGCCAGTTATTAGTGATTTTTCACACATGAAATCCCACAGCACCAGCTCGATTATGGTGGCGTATGCCCATAATCTCAGCTCTCAGGAGGCTGAGGCAAGAGGATCCTTGGGAGTTCACCACTGTAAAGTTAGTAGTATATACTCCATTTTATAAATGAGTAAGGAAGGAGGGTCTACGCATTGAGACTCGACCCTTGCTCCTATTGTCTGTTGGAACTGTGTGGCAGGTCAAACGACACTGGAATTGCCTGGTGAGATCTCCAATTATTCCCCACTCACTGATGTCACATCCATTTCCCAGTTCAGCAAGAGACAAATATCATCTTAACTTCAAATTTGGGGTGGTTATTGTATAACAGGGAGAAAGAAAGGCACTTTCTCCATGGCAGTGTTTTCCTATATTTTTTAGTTATTTTGTTTTGAGACAGGGCCTTCTCCTATTTTAATAGTACTCTGCCCTCTTTGCCTAGCTGGAGTCGGGTAAGGAGGGAGGAATCAGCACTTCCCTCCCTGGATGCATTTGTAGGCATACAGATCAAATACAGGAGTTGGGGTATAGCTCAGGAATACAGCACATGCTTAGCTTGTGTAAGGCCCTGGGTTCGATCCCCAGAATTCCCCCCTGCCAAGAGTGAACAACTCCCATATCTGGAATCTGATGGGACAATATATTATCTGATGGGACAGTATATTTGGTATTTCTGCACTTACGTAATGTTCATTAGACCCTATTTGGTTGACAGGCACTGTTTTCTTCATTCTTGGAAGGGCCTGAGGCTCAGAGGTGAATCTGACAAAGGTCACACAGCCAGTAAATGGAGACGTGACATTTAATTGGTTTTTTTTTGTGGAACCGGGGATTGAACCCAGGTTCTTGCGCTTGCCAAGGAAGCACTTAGTCACTGAGCCATCTCCCCGGCCCGAGATGTGACATTTTAAAACAGAAGCTAAAATGATTGAAACCAGGCACGCTGGCACATTCCTATCATCCCAGCCCTCTGGCAGAGTAAGGCAAGAAGAGCACAACTCTCATAGTGCCTTGGGTTCAGTCCCTAGCAGAGAGGGAGAGGTTGAGGATTTTATTTCATCTGGCTAATCAACGTGCCTAATAAGTCCCAGTTTGAAAAGTTCAATTTCATGAAATATTAGCACTTATTCGTGTTCACTCTGGTTGGCTTCAGGTAGGCAGAGGACGGGGATCACCAGCACTGCTCGGGAACCCAGTTTTCTTTGATTTCATTATGGATGTCATACTCTAATAGAGGAAGCTGTAATGAAAAATCTTCTGGGGAGGGACTAGAAGATGCTGTCTCATTTATGTGCTATTGAGGGAGTACGTGGAGCAGTAGTGACAGACAGCTTTAAATCAAGAATTCTGAGTTCTTTTGACCTTGGTTTTACTACTCAACTATGAATAATTTCCTTTTTTTTTTTTTTCAAAATAAAGGGAGCTACCACATTTGGTGATTTTTTTTTGGGGGGGGGTAGAAATACATAGCATTTTATTGGGGTTCTTCATACAAATGGTTGTAAATTTGGCTTTTTATTTACTTATATTATCTATTTCTGGGCTTGAGTATGTAACTCAGGGACTGGCAGAGTGCTCACCCAGCATGCATGAGGCTCTGGTTCAATCTGTAGTACTGCATGCACACACACAAACACGCTAACCTGTTGGCCAGCTTCGGGGGGGGGGGCACATCTGTTGTCCCAGCATAAGGAGGCAAGAGGATCACTTGAACCAATGAGCTTAACCAGCCAGACACCCATCTCAAAAAATAAAATCTTTGTCCAAAAATATGCTGGGCATTATCTGAGTTACCAAAATGTGACGATACATTTTTTAATGCCTGTATACTACCATTATTGTGGACATACTATATTTTAACTCGCCGTTTTCCAACAAACTATAAAGTTAGTAAGTTATTTCCATTTTATTAATAGTAGATATTAAATGTGTAAATACATTATCCATGTATGTAATCATTTTTACTTAGCTTTCTGCAGATTTGTCAGCCTGATAATTGTTCCTTTACAGTTTTTTTCTTAGTTAGGTATTTTATTATTTTGTAATATGTTTTGCATGTGTATATTTACAAGTGGATAATTTTTTTTTAGTGGAACTGGGGATTGAACTCAGGCCCCTGCACTTGCCAGGCAAGTGCTTATTCCACCAAGCCATCTCCCTGGCCCCTTACAATGGATAATTTTCTCAGCAGAAGTTATTGACTTATTTTCCCCACC